GGGGGGGGGGGGGGGGGGGGGGGGGGGGGGGGGGGGGGGGGGGGGGGGGAGTAGCGCCGCAGGGAAGAGGGGGGAGACGAGAGGTTACAACGACACATATTCGACAAGTATGTAGACAGGCAACCACAAATGGTCACAAGCTAGACCAGGACAACAAAAAGACAAACGAACAAGGACAAAGTGCAAGAGAGAGAGCGAAACAGGCAATGGATCGTCAACAATCGAACAACAACTGGCAAGCGGTATCTACCACGAGTCTGCAGACAGAGACGGGCGAGGCCCTCAGACTACAAACACACATAGATGCACACAACCACGCCACGCGCCCATGCGCCGGTTTGATGACATTCGCCGGTGCCTCCCGAATGGCGATCTCCCCCCACACAAAACCACGACACGCGGGTGTGTGAACCACACGACAAGCAAAAACAAGGTCAGTCAAGCACGCCTTACCGCACCTCTTGTTGAAATCCGTCCTCGCCATGCGGTTAGGGTACGCTGCTCTAGATATACGGATCGCCTCCACGACTCCGGCGCACCGAAGTTGCTCCGCAACCTGCACCGGTCGAAGACAAAACGTGCGGCAAAAGAGACGAGGCACTGCCGTAAGCTCCTCCGTCAGCGCTTGTCAAGAAACCGTAAGCCGCGCTCGAGGCAAATGTGCTCGCGCGACCCAACGTGTGATTCGCAGAGAACCGTCGAATGCTCCCGAGACCTTTAGCTTGGTCTACTGATGGTCCGCAGGTATGAGAAGACAATATCCACCGACGGCATATTTCATGGCATTCTGTACCTGCCGAGATGGATCCAAACAACGTCAAGAACATCAACACAATTTAGAGCTAGCCAGAGGTCCCAACCGCAGGGTTGGTCCTTGTCACACCCACCCATACCTTCGCGTTTTCCATCCGGCCGGGAAGCTTAGCCGCGTTAGGCTTGATGCACCGCACGTACTGCACCGAAGTGAGTCCGATCGTGTCCCTTCAGCCACCATCATCGTCAGCAACAACGTGGGCAGAAACACAGATAGTTGAGAGAGCGGGTGAGTGGTGGAAGGCATCGAATTTGTATGTGTGTTTTTCCCACCTGCCCCATCTCGAATCCAAGCAAGAAATGCCACCAAACAACAACAACGACGATAAAAGATCAGCGACGCGCCGAGTGGCGTGGAGGCATGGGAGCAATGCCAGAAGCGGCGGCGAACAAGATGTCAAACTCAGCGGCGGCCGTAGCAACATCAGCAGTCGCAGTCACGCCACCGGACTGAAAGACAGACATTTATCGACAGCAGGTCCGGCAACACCACCACACCGAAACATGTGTGGAGCGTCCTCACTGTTGGCACGGCACTGCTCACGTCGGACACGGGAGCACGTATCTACTGAAAACACTTGACGCCCTACCTCAAACGTCGACAACGAGGCGTTATCGCAAACCATGGAACACACTCCGTCTAAATAACAAGCAGCAGCAGCTCCTCCATCGCCGAAACCTACAGTCGAGAAAGGAACCGCCTACAACACAAACAGCAGCTGAGAAAAGCTGTGTGTACGGTACGGTACGGCACTCACCATGTACCTTGTTGCCCGACTTCCCACCCACCACCTACCACCAACAACACCATCACCATCACTTTCACAACGTCCGACAAACGCTCAAACAACAAACATCACGTCCGACTTACATGAGCGTTGTCAAGCTGCCCTTGAACTTTGTTGCGAGGGTATTGGTGGCCATCGAAGACTTTTTTCGTGACGCCCCCCCGCCCCCCCCACTGTCCCCTTCCGCGGAGCCGGGATCCGGAGCAAATACTTTGGCGATCTGGGGGAAAGGAGGACGGGTGTAAGCAGGAGGGGGCACCCAAAAAGGAGTAGAGGGTGAAAACATGGGGGCAAGGGTAACCAAACAGCTCACACGGCAAACCGAATGTTTCAAAGAGTGCGATACCCTCCGCGTCACTCGCACGTCACCTTCTACGGAGAACAGCAGAAGCACTTTTTTAAAGCAGCCGAGACGTCGCTTTCGTGTATCTACGAGCCCCGCCGCAAGAAGCAAACCAACCAGCGGGTGCTCCGCAAAACCTGCCCGTCCCCCCCCACCCACCCCTCCATTCCTCACCAATGGCACCGAGCTCTTGGTCAGCAAGTCCCGGCAGGCCTCGCCGACGCTATCTCTGTTCTTGTCCAGGAAGCCTTCGGCGTGGTACAAGACCTCCCCGGCGTAGTGCCGCACGGAGAACTCAAAGGGGCCGGCAAGCTTGGCCCTCGCGAACGCCGAGTGGTCCGCATGGAGAGTGGCCAGCTGAAACAACAAGGAGCATTGAGGTTTCGACGTATACACGATTGAGTTCACAAGGGAGGGGGGGGGCCAGCGGGGGCCCAGAAATGTTGTTTCTGGGGCTCCCGACTGAAAGGGTGTCAGACTGCACGCAGAATGATAAATCACACCTGCGGCCGGGATCCTCGCTGCCAATACACGCACACCTGCTCTCTCCCCGCCAACACCCAAGCTACGTGCGACAAACACGGCACACCCAGCAAAAATCAACCACATGACAACAACCCACACAAGGGCCTTGATACAGGGCAAGAACAGCACGAGACGGTCGCGGCTGCCCTGCCCCCACCCGCCTTCTCGCACCTTGCTGACAAAGCTGTTGTCGCCTCCCCTGGGCCGGACGCACTCCTCGTTGAGCACGGCGATGATGCCCATCCTGCTCTCCACCAAACCCAGAACCTCGGCGTTGTCCGAGAAGTCAACGTGGCTCCAAGGGATGCCCTCCTCTTCGTACTCCGCCTGAGAGAGAGAGAGACACCACAGAGAATAAGATGGACAACAGGCACACACAACAAGCAGAATTAAGGCAGACAAAACACCATGGCGACTGCAGTGGGAGGAGGAGGAGAAAAAAGCAGGGAAGAAAGTAGCACGAGCGAAGACAATATGAGACACCTCCCGAATGATCCCTTACACCCGCACCACCCCGCTCTATCTCGGACAGCGCGCCGCCATGCCGCCACACATTAAACCGCCGCTAAACACCGACGGCGTGCGGTCGCGGTGAGCATCACACCGCCGTGCCTTCCTGAACACTTTACCTGCACGTTCTTGAAGACGTCCTGGGTGAACTTCTGCTGCAGCTTCTCGTTCGCGTAGTTGATGCACAGCTGCTCAAAGCGGTTGACCTTGAAGCTCTCGAAGCCGAAGATGTCCAGGAGGGCTACCGTGCCGCCCGGCGCCAGGGCCTCGCCCGCGTGTCTAGTCTTGGCGCCCGGCCCCGCCCCGCCGGGGCCATTGGCGTCCGGAGCAGAAGACGCCGTGCTCCGATTGATGCGCTCAACCAGCCACTCGAAGAGCCTGCAAAACACGAAGTCGAGAGGGGGGCCGGGGTACTAATTCGTTTAGCGTTTGGGCCCGTACATCAGCATCACCCTTTGCGAACCGGAGGTTCCCCCGAACAAAAAACGCCTCCAAAACCCGAGTGCTCTTCACGACATAGGGCCGGGGCACGGGTTCCAAAACAAACGCGAATCCTCCCGCTCGTCTACGTCTCTTTCCTCTTTCTTGCTCGAGCCCCATCCGTTGGGTCACTGCCCTAACCATACCGCGCGCCCACCGCACACAGACCCGTCACGGAAAAAAAATCGGGGGGATACTCTACAGGACGCCGAGTCCTAGCAAGTGGTTGCACGTGTGCCTGCAGCGTCAACTTCCTCCTCTTCCTCCTCCTCCTCC